GTCAATTTTGCTCCTGCATGGGACAGACAGAGTCAGCATACAGTTGTTGCTCACTGTTCTCATTCCCTTGAGTAGTTCCTTGTGGGGTAGAAATTTGTGAGCAGTTTTGTTTCAAGAGGATAGGAATTTTTGGGTGGTGTGAAGCCAGGAAGTGGACTCAGTGATCCCTGTGTGCCACTTCCAACTTGGGATATTCTATGATTTCTCTGCTGGGCAGAGCACCATTAGCAAAATATATAGGTATTTGGGACATAGTGAAGCACAGATTCATGCAAAGATTGTAATCCACCTGGTAGGAGTACATGAGGTTCCATGCTCAAAGATCCTGCAGGATCTCAGGCAAATCCTTAACTCCAAAGGCCTCAGTTTGGCATCTAAGAAAGCCCCACGGCTTCCTTTAGCCCTGCAATGAGCCAACCCCACTCACTTGATGTACTCCTCGCAGATCACACGGTAGTTGTCACGCTCGGGGTCGCAGCGCAGGTCATCGTAGAGCTTATTGAGGAGGATGGAGGCAGTCAGCTGGGTGTTCTCTGTCAGCGGAAGGCAGCCAGGCATCTCAGGAATCTGACCCACCACTTTCAGTATCTTTTTTAAGCCTGGAAACAATGAAGTGATATGGCTGCCAGAGGAGAGAGGGCCTGTCCAAAACTCAGGATGCTGTTTGCTGGGTTTTTGCAATGAAACAGCCAACTGAGTTGCAAGTTACTTTATAGCCTAATCACATCATCTTTAGAAATTATCAAGAGATTTACTGAAAAGAACGTTCTGCTCATGGGTTTGTGGCATTGAGCACCTCCCAAGTTAGAGCAGGGATGAAAGGAAGGACTCACCATTGTCAATGACAAAAGTGGTCCTGCTGTTGTCATGGTCCTTTGGGTCCTTCCTTGGTATGTTCTTGTTGAGGAGGTTGAGAGCTCGGTCTCGTCCCTGCCCGGATACATTCTTACTGACCAACATATCCAGCAAACGCATCGTGATCATCTTCAAGTCTTTTTTAGTATCTGTACAGAAGCAAGGCAGCAGCAGCCAGTTAGGAGAAATTTTCTCTGAAAGCTGGTGAACTCAGTGAAAACCAGTCAGAGCCATTACATGGCTGCAACATTGGTACTGAAGTTAGAGGAGCATCTCCCTTGCTTCTCCAACAAGACCAAGGACTGCCATTACCTAGCACCAGAGACTCTTCTTTGCCATGGTGCTCCTCCTTGCCCTGCCCCAGCAAGCAGTCAGTGATGGTCTGCAGGAGGTTGCAGACAGCCAGCGAGATCTCCTCATTGTCCACTGACATCCACATGCAGATGCTGTCAATGCCCAGGTAATGAAGGATGGCAGTGGCCTGGCCTCGAAAGGAGAGAGCAGAGCTGTTAGCAAAGGGCATGAGCGCATTGTGAACAGCTGTGATTTTTCATTCTCCAGGTACAAGGCAACAGCAGTGAACATCCCAAACTGCTCACCCGAGCTTTATGTCCTGTGCACATGCCCGAAAGTGTCCTCACGGCTGCTAGGACCAGCTCAGTATTTTTGGTTTCTATCAGCTGCAGCAGCAAGCTGACCCCATTGTTCTGGAATATCCTCTCGGCGCCCGCTTCCTCCCGGCCCAGGACTATGAGGTTGTTGGCAGCCTGGGTGGGAGAGAGAGGAGAGGTCAGCAGCACAGCCTCCAGAACACCTCTGGGATATGTTTGGGATCGCCAGCTCTGATCCTAAGCATCTCCTCCAGGTGCACCTGGAGGTCAGGTTTGATCCTCCCTATAAAAAAAGTGAGTCAGCACCTGGAGGGAAACACAGGGAAGTTGGCAGAGATGGACAGGTTGGATCCCAGTTTGGGTACTTTGGGGCCCACCTTCCCTGAGCACAGGAGTGACGCCAGATTCTCACCCTCTCTCGCTTCTCTTTCTCACTGTTCTCATCCAGAAGGATTTCAAACATCTTCTGCACCCGCATGTCCGTGGAGAACTGAATGCGCAGCTGTGCCAACACAAACCAAGAAGCAATTTTCCTTTAGCACTTCAAGACAACCACAGTCCCCAAATGGCAGACAGCAAGCTGGATAACAACATGGACATCACTTCCCAGAAAGCAGGTATGATTGCCCAGCTCACCCCAATAGAATCATGACTCATTATGGTTGCAAAAGACCACAAAGACCATCTAGTCAAACCCCAACCCATTCCTGCTATGTCCACAAAGCCACTGAATCATGGAATCATTAAGGTTGGAAAAGACCTCTAAGATCACAAAAACCAACCTCAACCCATCCCCACCATTTCCCTCAGTGCCACATCTCCAGGTCCATAGCCCAGTACTGCTCCCCAGGATTTACCTTCTCCTGGATGTCAGCCCCCAGGCGCCTCAGGGTCTCCTGGAAGTTCTTGTTGCGGGGCTCCATGGTAGCACATTTCTGAGCATCTTTGAATGCTTGGTCCAATTTTCCCAATTTTTCCAGAGCTTGGCTGCGCCGGTACAAAGCTTTGATATCCGAAGAATTGATGTCAATAGCTGGGAAAGGGATCCAAAGGTCAGGACATGAAAGTCTGCTTCTTGAAAATCCCCCATGTAAATTGTCATCTGCTTCAGGTTGGATATTAGGAACAAATTCTTCTCATAAAGAGCAGTGATGCATTGGCACAGGCTGCCCAGGGAGTGGTGGAGTCACCTCCCCTGGACGTGTTCCAGAAAAGGGTCAATGTCACACTGAGGGACATGGTGTAGAACAATCACAGCCAAGGGTGGAAGGTTGGACTGGGTGACCTTAGAGGTCTTTTCAGCTTCAATCCTATAATATACAGTGACTGCATTTCCTGGACACATAGATATTGTTATCTCAGAGTGAACTGGTACCAAACCAGCAATGATGCACCAAACTGGTGCATCTCCTTTCGTACCTTCTCCAGCACTTGCGTGTTAGGGGACACCAAACCATGAGAACACAGTGCCCCAAAAGCAGATATGAGAGTGGGCTGGAGCAGATGAACACAAACACAGCCTCTCCTTACCTCTAGATGCATCCGAGGCTGCCTTGGCATATTCCTCCTGCAAAACCAGAGGAGCAGAGCAATTCATCAGCAGTGGGACAATGGAGCGTGACCCCATTGCTGGTGCAACTCAAGCTCTGTTCTCACTAACAGGGCACCCTGGTGAAAGCAATAGGAGCCTACAGAAGGCAGGAAGGGAGCTTTGGGTACCATCTCACTGGTGATGGAAGGAAACGAGGATGGCTCTGGTATGACTCAGACAACAACAGCCTGCAGGCTGCAATGGAAAAGCCTGCAGCTCTTTGGGGTTGGGACCACTGCTGAGCTAAACCAGCATGCTCAGCCCTATGGGGATGGGACCTAAAGCTTTCCTCACCTTTTTCAGGAAGCACGCTGCCCGGTTGCGGTACAGCACGGCCTGCAGTGCCCTGTCCTTGTTGAGCTTCATGGCCTTTGTGTAGCTCTCAGCAGCTCTCTCATAGTCGCTGGCTTGAAAATATTTGTTGCCCTCCTCCTTCAGTTGGATGGGATCCTCCATCTGGAGAGCAGAGGAAAAAAAACCAAAACCACACATTTTAGGCTGCTTGAGAGTTTTAAGGAAAAACATGAAATTTGTGCCCCTTCTGTTTTGGGCTGCCTGTTGAATACCCCTGAACAAAAGCACCTTACCAGTCTGAAGTGCTCAGAAAACCAAACTGCTCCTTGAGGCTGTGGCTTCTCAGCAGTAGACCTCCACAGCTGTAGGTCTGTAGTGACCAATGAAAAGAAATAAAATAACAAAAAAAGAGCTCAGAAAGTCTGGAGTGTCCAGACGGCTTGGGAAAGAGCTCACCTCCCACTCCAAGTTTGGGCAAGAGCTGGCAGCTCCTGCTGTGTGTCACTGTCACCTGTCACCACTGCCTGTCCCCTGTGCTATATAGGGCTGGGGGCCACCGCCAGCCAGCGTGTGGGGGGACACTGTGTGTAAGGGCAAACAGCTCTGGGCACTAAGAGGGGATGCTGCTCTCCCACCCACTGGGTGGATCCTTGTTATCCATGACCTGCAGAGCTGCACGGGGAATGGAGTGGGAATGGGAGGGCTTTGTGCCATAAACAAATCAGTTCACATGGCTGACCCCTGTCCTAGTGCTCAGTGCCTTGTTCCTTTCTATTTAGGGAGGCATGAGACAGCTGCACAGGGACAAGTGGCTCCGTCTGGCAGCTGCCAGTGCCTTCCAGAACAGCCATAGAGAGAAAGCACCAGAACCCCCTTCCCTGCTTTCAGTAGGGGCAGCTTCCCCTTGCCAGTGCTCACAGCCCAGCTTCCAGAGCCCCAGGTGAGCCATGTTTCATACCAAAACGGTGGCTTCATCCCTTATTCCATGCAGCTCAGTGAGTGCTGGGGGCCCTCTGGAGGATGAGAAAGCAAAAGGAAATTTTTCCTGAGGAAATTCAAGTGTCAGGCAGAGAGGGAGAGAATCAGCTTTTGGGTTTTCCCATGTGTCCCTTTTGGGGACAGCAAAGAGCCTCCCAGTGCACCCTCATCTTCCACCACACAAACCCACCTGTGCACCCCAGTAGCTCTGCCCAAAAGCCACCCTTAGGCAGTCACCATCTCTGATGTTTCCAGCCACTTGCTCACATCAGGTCATGGGAAGAGCCAGCCAGCTCTGTGGGACCATCACCTCCCAGGGAGCATCAGGGCAACCTCCAGCAGCCCTGGGGCAATGGCAGGGCTCAGAGGGGCTCAGAGGGGCTGTGCAGCACGATGCCTAAGGCTTGAGCTTCGCTCTGGGAGTGATTTAGTGGTGGATTGTTAGAGTTAGGGTAGTGTGGTTAGGTTGTGGTTGGACTTGATGACCTTGAAGGTCTTTTCCAACCTGAGCTATGCTATAATTCTGTGATTACTGAAGAACATCTACTGTACCATATTGTACCCTACATTTTTGATTCCAATATTAATAGACTCTGGAGCATTGCTGGCACCTGCACTGATGGCCAAGCTGATGGGTGGCATCCACTACAGACAGAGACCAGCTCCCAGCTGTGATTCCCTTCCTATTGCTGTCCAGAAGCAGGATCACGATTTTTGGAAGCATCCTTCGGGCTGAACAGACCGCTAGGGGGGGTGCAAAGCCCGGCAGCCCTTCCGCAGCCCGCAGGAAGCAGGAAGGGGGTTGGTATGGGACGAGGTTCGGTACCAGTGGCATTTTAGGGACCCCTCGGCCACCCGTAGGTGCGGGCTCTGCGTGGCTCTGCGTGGCTCTGAGCGTTCCCGGACACGCGTGGGGCTGCTGGGGAGGGCTCGCCCCGTGGGCACGGTGATGATTGCGTGTGTGGTTTGGGGACGGGTGGCACTAAAGGGACCCACTTGGGGTCACGCAGCATCACTGCGGTGTGGGCGGCCCCATGGGGATGCTGCGGGATGCATGTCCCCATGGTGCACCGCGGTATCCCCGTGTACATTATGGTACCCCGTGGGTGCCCATCCCATTTCCCCACAGGTCTCTCTGCTTCCATCCCTGCAGCGCTCCGTCCCGTGGTGCCGAGGCCATGGTGGTCCTGCGGGCCGGGCTGTGCCCTGGTCTCACCGAAGAGATGATCCAACTCCTCAGGGCAAACAACATCAGAACTGGTAATTTGGTGGGGGATGTTGGTTCCTGCCCCTTTGGGGTATCACCACATGTTCCACCCTTCTTGTTTTTGTGTCATTTGTAGTGGTGGACTTTGTGTCATCAGATCTAGAGGACGTTGCCCAGAACTGTTCCTTGTCTTACAAGGTATCGGGGTTATCCCTGAATCCTCCCTAAACCGGGCACTCACAGCTCCCTGCTTGGGTGGGCTTTTCTGGAGGATCTTCTGCAGGGCACGTTGGGCTGTGGGCTTCCTTAGTCCCTTTACAAACTGTCCAACAGGCGCTGGTGGCTGTGCGCCGTGTGCTGCTGGCCCAGTTCTCAGCCTTCCCTACCAATGGTGCAGACCTCTATGAGGAGCTCAAGAGCTCCACTGCCATCCTGCCGACCGGCAGCTCCAGGTGGGTTCCCAGTGAGCTGTGATGTGATGATGCCCCCTGTGTGCTCAGTGTTGTCCTATTTGTCTCCAGCAGTTGTCACCAACCCCAGCCTGGCTGTGCCCATTGAGAGCAGAGGTGACTTTTCATGTCCTGTGGCTGTGAAGTCAGCTGGTGTCTGTCCCCTGAGGGATGACACTGCTGTTGTTGTCCTTGCAAGAGCCTGCACATCTCTTGGAATTGGCTGTATGTCTCAGTTCTAGACTAGAGAATGTGCTGCCCTCAGCCTTCCCCTTGAGAAGAGAGCTATGGATCTGGGAGGGTTTGGAGTGATGATTTCCCAAGGCTGGGCAAGGAGATGACTTGCTCTTTGTTGCCTAGGCTTATTTCTCTTTTTCCAGTCTCTTTGTTGGCTTGTTACAGTGGGGATGCAGAGAAACTGCAGGTGTTCCAACCTGGCTCCCAGGCTCTTTCCCATCTCAGCATGATCCTCTTGCACTGCAAAGCTGCTGCAGCCCACGGTGTATGGATTCAGGGCTGGAGAGTGGGAGCAGAGCCCAGGGCTTCTGCCTTTGGGAAGTTGATAGGTTCTGGTACGTGGAAGCACTGTCCCCATTTTGTGGATGCACATTAAGCATCCTGCCTTGTGCTCACCCCACAGCTTGGACCAGCTGCTGGACGCAGGGCTGTACACCGGGGAGGTGACAGAGCTGGCAGGAGCACCAGGCAGTGGGAAAACACAGGTGAGTGGGGCAGGGGGTGACCTGGCCTGGGGTCGTGGACACTGAGGGCTCTCACTGTGCCACAGGTGGGCAGCTGATGACTGGTCCATACTATTCCAGGTTTGCCTCAGCATCGCAGCCAGCGTGTCCCTCGGCCTCAGGCAGCACGTCGTCTTCCTTGACTCCACAGGGGGGTTCACTGCCTCCCGCCTCTACCAGATGCTCCAGGCCCGGGTGGAGGACAAGGAGGAGCAGGTGAGTTATGTGTTTTTCCTGCTTGTGTGGGCAACAGTGCACCATTGTCCTCATGGACTCTGCTGGGCCCATTCCTACTGAGGCTGGGTGCTATTTTTAGGGGAGAATGGGAGAGCTTGATTCAGTCCCTTACCCATTGCTCCTTGAGCTGTGCTGCTGCCATCATTGCTATGGGGACAACAGTGTTCATGGGGTGGTGTAAATATAGGAGAAATGAAGGCCTCTGGCTCTGTGGCACGGGCAGGAGGGACGTGGGCATGCTGTGCATGCAGTGCAGATTTCAGGGTGACACTGCTGTGTGTCACAGCTGGAGGCCCTGCAGCGGGTGCAGGTGGTCCGTGTGTTTGACGTCTATGAGATGCTGCGTGCCCTGCATGAGGTGCGGGACTGCCTCTCCCAACAGGTAAGGCCTCCAAGTTCCTCTCCTTGACAAGTGTCACCCCATCCCAGGGATATCCAAGCCTCAGTGCAGCTTTAACACCTCCGAAAAGTGTTGCTCAGTATTGCATGGTTGATTTTGTTCTGCAGGTGGGGAGCTCGGCTGGGCCGCTCAAGGCAGTGCTCATTGATTCAGTGTCAGCCGTGCTGTCCCCGCTGCTGGGTGGCCGGCAGTCAGAGGGTGAGCTTGCCCCTGGGGGGGTTAGGGGGGGCTGATTGCAACGTGCTGGAAATGGTGTGAAGGTGCTTATGAACACTGTATCTAAGGCTCACACAAGTCCAGCATCACCATTGGGCTGTTGGGGGTGGGTCAATGGTTGGACTTGATCTTCTTAGAGGTCTTCCAACCTGAGTGATTCTGTGATTCTACCTCTGGGCTGCTCCCTCTGTTTGGGTTGAGCTCCCACCCACCAACACCTGCTCAACCTCCAGGCTTGGCCATCATGATGCAACTGGCCCAGGAGCTGAAGACATTGGCCAAAGAGTTCAGCGTGGCGGTGGTGGTGAGTGCTGCTGTCTGTCAGCCTTCCTGCCATGGCAGGGAGCCCTGGTTTGGGAGCCCCTGGTGCAGCTGTTTGGGCTGATTGGTTGGAGGGGATGGCATGGTGACACTGAGGGGAAGGAAGAGCTTCACCAAGTGACTACTTAGCCGTCATCTCCTGGTGACCTCAGGTGTTTCACTGAGTTTCACAGCCTGTGTGTGTACGTGGCAGGTGACCAACCAGGTGACAAGGGACAGCAGCACCGGCGCTCTCAAGTCAGCACTTGGCCGCTCCTGGAGCTTTGTGCCCAGCACCCGTGTGCTGCTGCAGGGCAGAGCAGCGCCATGGGAGGAGGGCACTGCTCCACTCACTGCCTGCTTGGCCAAGTCACCGCGCCAGGTGGGCTCTGGCTATGGAAAAGGGAGGTGTGGGTGTGGGTGTGGAGCAGTGGGATGCAGAGTCAGCCCCCACAGGGGGACACACTGCAATGGGAGAGGGGCAGATGTGTGCTATTGAGAAAGGCACCTGCTGCCAACAGCCTGAACTCTCGAGTTTATTCTGCTAAATGAGGAGCACTGCTTGCAACCTGGGTCAATGTGTCCTCATGCCCATCTTACTGTCAGGGTGCTCGGACCTGCAGAGATGTGATCCTGTGCTGAGTAATGGCAATAATGGTGCACCTGGGGTCTTATCAGAGCAAAGTGTGCTAAATTGCATTTGTTCATCAGACCCTGATAAAATGAGGGCATTGGCAGAAAGAAGTCCTCAAGGGGCTGGGACTGGGGGCTGCTTGGGGCTGCTTGGGGCAGGTGCAGCTTGTGCAGACTTAGCAGAGTTGAGCTCTTCTGTTTCCTGCTGCAGCCAACAGGGATGCAGGTGCAGCTGGATATTGACAGCGATTGTGTGCAGGAGCAGAGGCCAGTGACTCCCACACCATGACCCTGATGGGGACGGAAAAGCAAATGTCAAGGTCTGGGAGAGCTGTAAAAACCATGCAGACGCTGAGCACAGACTGCCTCTGAGTCCCACAGCACAGAACAGCTCCTGTTCTGCCCTGTGAGAAAATATGCATGGGGTTCCCTGGAGAGCTCTCTTGGCACATGTGTGGTTGGCATGGGGTAGGCAGGTCCCCTCCTCTGCCACCAGTGGGACTGTAACATCCTGTAACATCCTGTAACACCACTGCCAGTGGCTTGGGATCACAACCTTGCAGTGGTTTTGTTCCCACCTCATAACTGCTGCCTTGGGCAGCCCATGGTGCTCTTGGTTGAGAAATAAAGGTGTTGCATACTTACAGTCCAAGGCTGTGATTCAATGCATGGCAAGTTCTGCTTAGCTTCAGATTTCTCAGTAGTGCTTAGCATAGGTGGGATGAGTTAGTGAGCAGGGATGCAATGGACACTGGATGTGACCCCATCGATTTAACAGCCCTGCAGCGTTTTGGAGCACTGTTGTGCTGCATGAAGACTAAAATGCATTTTAAAGTTACATTTTTGTGCTTCTCTGGGATTTCCATGCCTGGGGCTGGTTATGTTGGGGCAGTTTTCCTGTCTGCAGGAACTCACAGAATGATCCTTATGAGCAGGGGGGCTGTACAGAGCCATGGTTTTGTCTGGAGCAGAGGGGTTTTCCATCTGCCTCCTTCCCCTAAATCATGGGAGGTTGCAGTCATCAGCCCCACGTGATGCTGGGTTTGGGAAATGCTCCTTCTGCACTTTGTCACTGTGGGCTGTCATGGGATGGTGACTCAAAGGGAGGGGAAGGGGAAGGGAACAGGGAAAGGTGACGAAGCTGCACTGCTCCAAAGCTCCTGGTACAGCTTGAGACTTTCATCTGCTTGCAGTCTGCTCTGTGCCCTGCTGGGGCAAGGTGTGCAGGGTGTGGGGTTTGGTGCTGTGGTCCCGAATTCCTGGTGATGATGCTGTGGGTTCTGTGTGCCATTTGGCATGGGCACAACGATGGCTTCAGGTGACAGCAGTCTGTTACCTATGCTGGAAAATCTCAGCTTCTCACTCAGGCTGCTTTGCCCTAAATTCTCATAATAAAAGTAGGTCAAAAAGAGTTTCTGACCTAAAAATCCTAATTCAGCCTTTCTCCCTGTGCTCAGCCAGGCAGTCAATCCTGGGGTCAGCGCTTGGCTGTGCCACTGCAGGTGGGGATGTCCCTGCTCTGAGCCCCATTACTTGCACTGGCTGCGGGGCTGTAGGGCGGAGTGTTTGCCCTAGATGTGTGTATAACACATACGTTTGGATACTTTTATGTGTGTATATATGTGTTATCTGTATAGGTGTGCATATATCTATTTGGGTATGTGCCTGTCTGCACACATACAGGGGCACAGGTGCGTGTATGTTTTTGTATGTTCTGATCCAGTGGTTAGCATCCGTGTCTGTTCAGTACAAGGAAGACAGGGAGCTGTTGGAGGGAGTGCAGAGGAGAGCCACAGAGATGATAGGGGGCTGGAGCACCTCCCCTACGAGGACAGGCTGAGGGAGCAGGGCTTGTCCAGCCTGGAGAAAAGAGGGCTGAGGGGTGACCTCACTGCAGCCTTCCAGTACCTAAAGGGAGCCTACAAACAGGAGGGAAATCAACTCTTTGAAAGGGTAGATAACAGCAGGACCAAGGGGAAATGGTTTTAAGTTGAGGGAGGGAAGATTTAGGTTGGATGTCAGGGGGAAGTTCTTTCCTATGAGAGTGGTGAGGTGCTGGAACAGCTGCCCAGAGGCTGTGGATGCCCCGTCCATCCCTGGAGGTGTTCAAGGCCAGGTTGGATGGGGCCCTGGGCAGCCTGGGCTGGTATTAAATGAGGAGGTTGGTGACCCTGCATGTGGTGGGGGGTTGGAGATTCATGATCCTTGAGGTCCCTTCCAACCCTGGCCATTCTGTGATTCTGTGATTCTGTGATAGGGGATTGGGATTGGGTAGTCTTTAGGTTCCTTCCAAGCCATTCTGCGAGCCTTTGAGTAAATGTATGTTATCACGGACTGGGGACCTGGCTCCAAGGCAGCGCACAGTCACACCGCGCTGTCCCTGCGCTGTCCCCGTCCCAACCCCGCGTTGCCCGGCCGGGGTCTCGAACCCGGGGTCCTGCAATCACCAATCCCCTCTCGGCCGCTTGAGGGCGCCAGGGAGACCTCCGTGCCGCAGGGGGGCGGGCCCTGCGGGGGCGCGCAGCCCGCCGCTTTAAGGCGCCGCTCTGGCCGCCTTCTCTATGGTCGGCCGCGGCGCACAGTTGCCATAGCGCCGCTGCCGCGCGGAGCGCAGCGCTCGGGGAGGAGCCGCGGCCTGGGCCGGCACGGGGCCCGGCGCGGGACGGGGCGCCGAGGGACAGGTGAGGCGGCGGGGCTCGGGGGGCCGGTCGGAGCGGGGAGGGAAGCCGCGGGGGACCGGTGCGTGGGTGTCGGAGCGCCGGCCCGGCTTCCCCGCTCGGGGTGAGGGGCGCGGATCCCCTCGCTGAGGTCCTGCGAGGGCTGCGGGCCCGGCGCAGGGAGACCCGAAACCGGGGGCAGCGCCTTCCTGCGGGGTGAGCGCGGCCCTCGGCTCCTTCCCGGCCGTTCTGCCCGCGGGGCGGTGACACCTGCCGGCGCTCCGTTGGGATGTGAGTGGCGGGCTGCTGCCTGCGGAGATCGCTGTGACATCGGCGCGGTGTGTGAGCCTTGCGGCGCTCCGCTCAAGGTGCGTTCGGGGCGACGTGCGACTTGCCGGGACGTAGGGGTGTTTTCTTTGTGTCTCCTCCTCCTCCTGGCCCGGCTGCGGTGCTGTGTGAAGGCGGTGCGGGGCTTTGCAGCACTTCTCCCTTGTTCCCAGGTTGCGTGCAGAACTTCCCGTGCTCTCGTTCTTGGAGCGGTCCTTGCAGCGCTGGGCTCAGGGATGTTATGGGTTCTTTGCAGTTGTTCATCACTGTGATTCCTTTTCGGTTCTCCCTTTGGTTAGGATGGGTGACGGCAGGTGCTGCAGGAGTTGCCCTGTTTTGTGTGTGACAATGTAGCAGGTTGTGCTTAAAAGCTGTGAGCCTCATATTTTAAATTAAGTGATGCTTAAGGCATGTCGGTGGCGATGTGAAAGAAGAAACAGTATTTTCCCCTTGTTGTCGTTTCCACTGCCACCTGCGTTTCTGCAGGGCTGGGAAGGGGAACATGAAGCTGTTGGCTCCGAATGCGTTCTTATGGTTTCTAGGTCCTGTCACACTCCATTGCACCATGCTCTCTCTTTAACCCATTTTGCATTCACAGTAGTTGGGAGGAAGGTCTCTTCATTCTCAGGGACCTTTGCTTCTGTAAGCGTAATTATGTTCAGCAGAACAGTTGGGTCTAATGAATCCAAATGACTTGCTCAGGCTATTGTTGTGTTTTCTATTAGGGACAATTCTCTCTGCTTGCATGAACCCTGCTGCAGCTCCCCAGCTGTAGCCCTCTGCAGTGTGGGCGTCCCCCCGGCTGGTAGCCATTGGGCTTAATTAAAAGCTGATTGCCATCACACTGGTGTTCGTGGATAAGTGCTTAACAGCTCGGGTTTCTTTAATAGCTTTAAAGCCATAATTTAGATGCAAACTCTTCAGTCAGGCTAGAGCATGGATCTCCTGCGCTACACATAGAGGGGTTATTAAAAGTGGTGCTTCAGACTTTACAGCTTTGGGAAGTGGGCAGGCTGCTCATCAGTTGCAGTGATCCGTTCCTGCTGTCCTTGCTGACTCACCTGGGGCTGCACCTGATGCACAGCTGTGGTCTGCATCCTCACCTCCAGCCAGGGGAAATGCTGTCCCTGTGCTGTGCCCGCTGGCTTTGCTGGAATATGTGGAGGAAAAGAAACCTTTTGTTAGATGTAGGTCTCCTTTCTGTCTCAGAGTGCACTGTTGTATGCATATAGGGTGTCTTGGAGAGTCTGCTCTCTAAAGCCTTTCAAAGGCCCTGAGGAGTATAGAGCTTGATCCAAAGATCAGAAATAAGCAACTCCTGTGCCTTTGAACCAGCTGCTTAGGGGTGGAAGGGGGTGAGAGATCCTTGTTTGGAGGAGAGGCAGGGAGGTGTGTGCACCTCTCTTAGTGAGGTGAACTGGTCAGGAACTGCCCTTAAGCTGGATGAGAGGAGCTGCAGGTGTGTGATAATGAGCATGGGGAACCTGGTGCTTCTCTGTAGTCTGAGCTGGGAAGGAGCATGGCATGAACTTGCTTCCTGCAAGCCCCCTGTGCCCTAGCACCTGTTTGTATCCTCCATACTGTGCTGGTTTTCCTCTGCTTCCCAGTGAAGGTCGTGGCAAGAAGGCAGATTAGTGCTTTGAGCTCACACCAGCTGGCACTCAGGAGCCTGAAGGCTCTGCAGGATGAGTGACTGTGCTCTCCATCTCACAGGTGGGGGGAGAGCTGGAGTGGGAGAATTGCACTGCCCTGAATTGATGTCAGAAGCAGCACTTGTCTGCAGGCTGGGTTCTGTCACCAGATGGTGCATCCTTCTGAAAGTGGTTATTCAGTCTTCAGAGAACACTGCCAGGTTGAAAAACCACAGTTTTCTGTAAGAGACAGAGCATGGCTGTCAGATTGGGATCTTACATTTTCGTTTTCCCTTCTTTCTTAAAGCTGAGATCTTGTTTCAACTTCTTAAAGCCCTCCTTGGCTTTTTAGATTTTTGTTCCCATGAGGTACTACTTGCCTTAAAAAGAGTTGTTGCTTTCAGAGGGGCTGCTTATTCTTCTCTGTATCTGTATCAGCTCTGAGTATTAGTGGTCCTTGATGTCACTTGAGCCTCAAGTAGGCTTTGTGCTCCAGCAAAAAAAAACAACTCAGAATAAGATTGTATTGTACTTCCATGTTGACTCAAATATTAATATCAGCTTTCTATTCTTTTCCTCTTGACACGTTTCCATATTCAGAATGCTGTGGGAAATCTTTGAAGAACGCTGGTAAGCAGTGCCTTTGTGGAATCTTTTCCTTCAGTCTCCAGACTGATGCTAGGAGAGCACATGGGGCTGGAACTGCTGCTGGGGAGCTGCTGTACTGCAGGGAGATCCCCTCTCCATGGGACTGCCAGGCTGCATTTCATAAGGTCCACTTTAAAGAGGAGTAAACTCATCAGATGAAATGCTTTCCTTTCTAGATCTTTGCATATGATAACTCTGAGGACAAACAGGCCCTTGGTTTCCGGAACAGATTTCAAAACGGCAAATTATTCCCCAAAAGAAACGCTTCCTCTGTTTAGATTAACAAAATAATTTTCCTTCTTGGATCCTTGAGCCCCTTCATATACACGCCTGCCTGCTGAGGCGGCTGAGATGTCAGGCTTGATAGATTATCAGAGCTGTTTTTCAGTAGTTAAACAATAATGAAACTGTTGTGCTGTCGCGGGGGAACACTGTGCTCTGTGTGCGGACTTCGTCCTGGAGAAAGTTTCAATTGTTCCATGCAGGGCTGTTCTGAAATGCAGCTTCTGTGGCTGCTCGCACAGCTGTCCAAACTGCGGGCTGCCTTGCGGCCATCACACGAGCATTACCAAATAGTTTGGAAACAGTTTATTTTTCAGATTCCATATAAAGTGTGGATTTCCTGGTCCCTTTTGAGTGTATAATAAAAAAATGGGAGTTGAAGGCGGTGTTTATAAAGGTGCTCAGGGAGCACAGGACTCGGGTTTCTCCCAGCTGATGCTTGTGTTACTCACACTGTCTGTTTCTCAGCAAGGGGCTTAGTGGTTCCTGTGTGTATTTCTGAGTTGGTTACTCAGATGCAGCCTCTGTGTATCTCTCCATGCACAGCCTCCCAGGTGAGATGTGTAATCTCCTGTGCAGGAGAAATGTGAGAAGGAGGTGATGCACTGTCAGTAAAAATAGATTCAAAGCCCTCAACCTCCTTTTCACTGGCCTTCTTGCTCTTTTCCTGGTGCTTATCATAGCATCACAGAACAGTTGGAGTTGGAAGGGACCCCCAGGGGCCATCTGCTCCCACTGCCTGCAGTGCACAGGGACACCCACAGCTCCATCAGCGCTCACAGCCCTCCAGCCTGACCCTGGAGGTGTGCAGGGATGGACACCATCGCTCTCAGAGCAGCCTGTGCAGTGCCTTGCTGCCCTTACCATTCTTGGTACCAGCTTCTCTGAGCTTAAGACAGCTTTTTTGCAATTGAAATTCTCGTTTCAGTTATTTCCTACTTCACTCAGAATGACATCCCTGAAAAGAATTGAGATGTTGTTTAGCTTGCTGCTGGCGTCTCCGCGCTGAATTGCAGTGCCTACAAAATGTGCATAGGGAATGCAGCTGGAATTCAGAGCACCAGTAAATGACTGCTTGTACACAGCAAAGCAGTGCAGTTAAAGCAAAGCACTTGCAGCATTTCTTGTCTGCCCTGGGAGACGGCTTCAACCTGCAGAGAGCTTCATCTGATAGCAGGGCTGATTTCATCTCTGAACCTTTCCTTGGTGAAAACCTATTTAAAGAGCTTCAGACTGCATATTTTAGAGATACGAAATAACAACTTAATAGGGTTGTATGGGTTTTAGTTTCAATTCACTTTTTTGCTACGTTAGATGTTATTTCTGTCACACTTGTAAACAGTGTATTCAGCAGTGGACAATGAAGTCTTTTCATACCACAGAATATAGTCCAAACCCAAGCCTGGTTCATGAAAACCTGGCTTTGTGCAGTGAGGTAAGGTGATCATCCTTGGAACCAGTCCTGTCTCCTCACTGGGTTTTCAAGCTGTGTAACTTGGGAAGGTAATGCTATGGGAGTCTGAGCTTGTTCCTAGGTTTGGGATGGGACTCTTGATAATACAAGGTAATGCTTTTATTGCTCTGCCTGGATAACAGATGCAAGCTTGAAATTTGATCTGGAATGCGTGGCTGTAGTTCCTAAATTTCTGCCAATTAAAAACAAACATGAAGAAAAGGATACCAGCTCTTCCTGTCTGCTTGGTCCATCAGCTTGAATGCTCATTATGGGGGAAATAGCATGCAAGTATTTAGCAAACCTTCTGAGCTATAAACAAAGTGTAAGGAGGTCCAAGTACATATTGACTGTCAGCATTTCTTCCCAGGCTTTCTTCTGCAAGCTGTGGTGTTTCTCTGAAAGTATCTAACAACATTGTGGACATAGCAATGCCTTGAAGAAATAATGTTAATTTGAGTTCCATTAACTGCATTGTGTTGGGGGAACTGAGGCACAGAGCACTGAAGTGACCACATGCAAAGGTCATCTGCAGTGGAGCTGAAAACTGAAACCAGGAATCCTCGCCCCTAGTTGTCCCTTGTTATTTATTCAGTGACTAATCTGAAAGCAGTTTCCTAATGGAGGCTGTTGAACTTCAGGTCCTATTTTTTCCTTAAGTAGTTTTTTCCCCAAGTCCAAAA